AGCGCGGGGCGGAGCTGGAGGCTGAACCGGCGTCGTCGAGGGGCGGAGACGTGGGCTGGGGCCACCGGGGCAGAGGCGGGCTTTCCGAACCTTCCAACCCGCTCCCCGCGCAGGTAACGAGAGCGCGTACGAGCCCAACGGCGCCGAGTGCTACAGCTGCGTGGGGCTGAGCCGCGAGGCGTGCCAGGGCACGGCGCCGCCCGTCGTGAGCTGCTACAACGCCAGCGACCGCTTCTACAAGGCCTGTTTCGACGGCAACGTCACCCTGACGGCAGGTGAGCGAGCCCCCGAGCTCGGCGCTGCGGTAGTTGTAGCCTTTCTGAGGCGTCCCGGGCGATGGTAGCCCTTTCCCCGAAGAGCTCCCCCACCTCCAGCGCATTCTGGGAGCTTGTCTTGTTTTCTAGAGCGTCGTGAGAAATGCACTCCCATCCCCGATAGCACGGGGGTGGGGATGCTGTTCGTTCTAGTATTTTGGGGAAACAGATTTCCGTAGAGGCCTAAGCGCGGAAGGCGGGGGTGGGCCGTGGGAAATGTATTGAAACCTTCAAGCTTCTACCCGGGCATTGCGGGAAATCTAGCTCTGACTGCCTAAAACCCTAGGGGTTAGGGTACCCACCTAAACTACTTAGGGGAGGTGCCGATCAGCCTCCTGGCCTCTGCCTCAGGGAATCATGGGAGATGAAGTTCTTCCAACGCCGTCCTCTGCCAGGTGCATTATGGGAGATGTAGTTCTAACTCTGAGACTAGACATTGGCGGTGTTAGGGGGAGAGGTGCGTGGAAAATGACGGGAGGGAGGGAGGGAGGGGACGTTTGTCCTTCTCTTTGTAGCGCAGCCTCTGATACTGCTATGGGAAATATGATGCGTCATATGCCAAAGACGGACTGGGACAGTGTTTCTCGAAGGGGGGCCTGAGCTGAGACTTTTGGGTCAATGGAACCAGAGCCCTTCTGTTCCCTGTTTTGGAGGCTGTCGCCTCCACGTTTCATTCTGGCTGTGCCTCCCCGCCCCCTCTTTAACACCCGACCTGTCTGTGTCGCCCTCCTTCAGCTAATGTGACTGTATCCTTGCCGGTCCGGGGCTGCGTGCAGGACGAGTTCTGCACGCGGGACACGGCCACAGGCCCCGGATTCACACTCAGCGGCTCGTGCTGCAAGGGGCCGCGCTGTAACGCCGACCTGCGCAACAAGACCTACTTCTCCTCTCGCATCCCGCCCCTGGAACTGCTGCCCGCTCCTCAGTCCACCACCCTGGCCACAACCACCCGCGTCCCTACCTCCACCCCGGCCCGGCCCACGGCCGTGTCGACCAGCAAACCCACCCCAGCCTCCGCCAGCCAGACTCCTCCCAAGGAAGTGGACCCCGAGACCTCCAAGAAAGAGGAATCCGGCTTGGCGGGAGGCGCTGCTGGCCACAAGGACCGCAGTAACAAGGAGCAATACCCCACAAAAACTTGGACCCATAATACAGGCTCGGCGGCTCCCGCGGCGGGGCTGGCGGCTCTCCTGTTGGCTGTGGCTGCTGGCGCCCTGCTATGAGCTTCTGCACCTGGAGAGCTCGCCCCGACCTCTCGCCCTCCTGCCCTCCTGCCCTCGCCTCGGGTACTCTCCCCTCCCTTCCCCCCGCTGGACTGGGCTGGCCCAGCCCCGGTTCTTGCAGTGTACCTCAGTACCCGGCTTCTGCTGCGCTGGTTTGCGGCTTGGGGAAATAAAGTTGCCATTGTATATATTCCCCCGGGTGTTCGAGCTTTTTGAGGCAGCAGATGTATTCCCCTCATGGTCAGAGGGACAGTGGGAGAGGCAGTGATAAGCTTTCTCATGGCCAACCTGGGCCTTGGGGCCGGCGCATGCTGGTTTTTCCTCTGATGGCTGCGGGCCCTGCCCCTCCATCCTTTGGGAATTGTTTCAGCGCTGTCTTCCTTGCTAGACTGTGAGCTCCTCAAGGGCAGGGACCGCGCCTTATGCCTCTATGTGGTCAGTTTCTGGAACATAAAGGCCTCAATAAGTTGAATTACTTTGTACAGTGTTTTGACGGAGTCATTTCTACCTCATTTCTTACAATAACCTCTTGAAGCTGAGCTAGGGCAGAAATGCCGAGACCTTTAACAGAGGAGTTGAGACAGCCCTGGGGGACGTCTGTGTTTCAACTCCTTTCTTTCATCATCTCCTGGGGAATAGCCAGCTTGTGGGTGATCCCACTGGGGAGGGGGCACTGGGTGAATCCATTAATCAGTATTGTAGGATGGACGGGGTCTTTAGCAGTGCTAGGGAGCAGAGGGCGGCTTTGTTTAATGAGTTTGTACACTGCGCCCAGGCACCACCCACCTTGCCATCTATCTGGCTTCTTTTTAAAAAATATATCTTTATTGATTTCAGAGGGAGAGGGAAAGAGAGAGAGAGAAACATCATTGGTGAGACAGTCATCATTGATTAACTGTCTCCCCCC